ACTCTAGGACAAAGTTATGTATAAAATATCGAAAAGGGGTATAGGCCACACACTATTCCCGTGTGGCCACCCTGCACCAAAACACCATTAAAGGTGGCTATTTTTACAGTCACAGACAATCACCTTCGGGGCCTATATCTCACTCGTTCCAAGTCCGATCGCACTCAAATTTCGTGAGCGTGTTTGTCTCATCAAGACGAGCATTTCGATAAGTTGTACGCCCCGTGACGATGCCCGAGCAGGGAAAAAACTAGAGAGAAGTTGCTGATTCAGGTTTTGGGTAGGTTTAAGACAATTCTACTAGGTTTAGATCTCCTACAGTCTACTACCATTTTTTGAGTATGTTAGACTCATAATTAAGGTTTTAGGAATTCCCCTAGCTAGAATTTCAAGGGTCTACAACATAATGAGGAAGGGAAAGAGGTCGCCCTATACTATCTTAGCATGTTGATGGTTGACTCAGAGCATAAATATTCTCCTATTCAGAAGATGCGCCTCATTCGGATAGTTGTAGTTCAAAACTAGGATATTATCTTCTGGAATATCTAGTGAGCTCATATATATAGATGACCTGATCAAATGTTTGCATGCCCAACCTAATTTATTGCATCGCCTGATGAAATGGTCAATGTTGCTAATGGACTATGACATTACGTAAGTGCCCCAATGAGCAATTAAAGGTCAAGTTTTAGTCGACTCTTTAGTATTGGGGTCTAAAGTCGAAGATGGATACACTGGCATCCTAGATAGCATTGGGGTGACCTCAGCAAAGAGAAGTCACCGGCTCAAAGATAGCACATGTCACAACCCCGCCCCCTACCATCCCATCGTACTTGCCAGAGGGAAACAAGGTGCGGGACGCAACTAAAGGTAGCGAATACCACTCAGATGGGAGTGCACTCAGCCCTTTAAGAAGAAGGAATCAAAGAAAACCATGAAACAAAACTAAAAACACACGAATACAAACAAAAACAGGACACTCAAGTTCCAGGTTGTATAAATATATATAAAAAAAGATCCCAACGTATTACCAATAAGTCCAAGGCATCAAGGCCCAATAACAATTACATGACTTCAAAATACACAAGAACTATATGGCCACAGCCAACCAAAACATACAATTGAAAATAAAAACTTCCACGAAAGCCCAAAGCTCCAACCGCCAGCCGCGATCACCAACCCACCGTCCTCCACTCAAGGCTATCACTCTACATAGATAAAGATGAAAAAGTGAGCCATAAAGCCCAGTAAATAGATCAAGTTACCATGTCTCCCTGCTTATGAATATTCCCTCATGACAATACACAGGATCCTATGCAATTCTTATAAAACATGAGCCACGTGTCGAAATCAACTCTACTAGTGTGCAACACACAATTCATAGTAAAGCAATGACAAATCAGATCAATCATGTATGATACTAAACAGAGGTTTATATAGTCATTCAGTCATACAAGTCTTAACAGATCAACGATTATAGGCAGTAACAACAATTTTCAACTAATTCACTCCCTAATTTTTCCTACTCCCAAAGTAGAAGCCCTATCCATCAGGCCAAGCTAATCTCATTGCGTAGGACTTCTACCATCATTTAGGAGGGAAAACAATGATAAATGGGAAGCCCATTTTGTAATGCTTTCACACACACACACAGAGTCCCCATCATGCTTTGGGGCTCCTGATAGGTAGTGCCCTTGCAAGATATAACCCTCATTGGTTCTCTAGCTAGAGGGCGTTATACCACCAATGAATGACCCATTGCATAGTGCTCTACACATATAATGGAGGGAGCGACTCTCCCATGTAAATCACCTTCTAACTCCCTTCTTGTCATTGGGAGTCGGGGAAAAATCTCAACTGCCGGCCTAACTTTCTTATCATATTATATTACACTACCAATGGATGACTCATTACATAGTGCCTCATATCACAATCGTATCATATCATCACACACTATCAACAGCTGGCCCGTTGCGTAATGCGTCATACCGCTTTTTTACCATATCATATTACACTACTAATGGATGACCCATTGCATAGTGCCCCATATTACATTCGTATCATATCATCACGCACTACCAATAGATGGCCCATTACGTAGTACGTCATACCGCTTTTTTACCATATCAGATTACACTACCAATGGATGAGCCATTGCATAGTGCCTTATACACATGTCATTTCATCACAGATGTTGCTTTCATATCATGTTAGAGCATGCACATATCATTTCAGAGCATGTGCATATCCTATTTTAACAGAACATGTCTTACTTTATCATCCATATCATAACAGAACTTATCTCATTATCATGCCTTCTTATCATAACAGAGCGGGCATTCATTCTATAACAGAGTAGGTCTCATTATCAGGCATCCATTTCATAATAGAGAATGCTTTCACGCACATATATCATAACAGAGGTAGGTTCACATAAGCATATTACATATCATCAAGCTCATTAACCCAACAAATATCTTCAAATTAATTTTCTGGTTTTTCACAGTGAACTCAATCCACCTTTAAGGGCATATCATGAAATTAAAAACTCATTTTGATATGAGGCCAATTTTATAAAACTTTAGGCTCATAAAAACACAACTTTTGAAAAGGGGATGTCCTCAAATTTTGGCTTAAAACTTATCAAACTGCTTGATATTCTTTGAGTACAGTTCCTATTTTCACAGCCGAAATTCTAATATGATATCCCTATAGAAACTTGGGCTTAACTTCTAATCCAAACAAAATTTTATCATAGTTCCAAAACCATTTTTAGAATAAACTCAATTATCTTTTATTTAGAAGTAGTTTGACCTCATTTTGATAAAGTTTGGTCAGTGAACTGTTCCACAAGACACATAGAGTTCCTGGAAAATCAGTCCAGACATACTTTAGAAAATGACTCATAACTTTCAAACCAAAAAATTTATTGGCAGGAAGTCTTTTCCATCTTAAAATAGACTCAAAGGGGTACTTTCCCACAATTCCATGATCAACAGAGGTGTTTTAAATTCTCAATTGATCACACAAATGGGAGTCATAGTTCTAGTTAATTCATGTCTTCACAACAGAATTTTCCAATATGACATCCCTATAGAAAAATTAGCATAACTTCCAATCCACACAAAGTTCTATCATGGTTCTAAAACTATTTTCAGAATAGACTCATTTATCTTTTATTTAAAACTAGTTTGATCTCATTCTGATATATTTTGGTTAGTGAATAGTTCTACACAAAAACACATAGAGTAGTTACGATAAACTTCAAAAAATGCCTAATAACAAACCAAAATACGTATTGTCAAGGGTCTTTTCCATCTTAAAATAGACTTAAAGGGGTACTTTCCCAAAAAATTTCATAACCAACAGAGACATTTTTTATGCTCATACAATTACACAACTGGGAGTCACAGTTCTGGAAAAAACAGTGCACATACTAACTAGATTTCATATCATCCATTTTCACAATTACATCCATATTCATGCTTGAAATTCTAAACTCTGATAAGCTAAATAAAAAACACATAGAACATGGGAACTAGATCAACTTACTGCACTAACTGAATCTCCCAAAAGCTCCACACAAGCTTCTCTTCAAAGGCCAAGCTCCAATGGGTTCAACCTCAAAGCTCTAAGTTGGAGAGAGAGAGGATGTGGGTGGGAGAGCACAAAATTTCATGGACGGGTGTGAAAGTTGGGTTTAAATAAGTAAAAGAAGCAGGCGGCAGCATGCAACTGACATTTGGCACACATGGAACATGCAAGTGCCACCTGGTGTCCAAGAAACATGCAACCAATCATGAGAGACAGTAAAAGTTCCCTTGGATTGTCGCGGGCTCGATAGCGTCGCTCGCTGCAGCTGCGCACACGACAGTGTCGCGAACGGTGGCAACACACATCGGTGTCACACATGGTAGCAACGCACATGGCAGAAACTCACACGGCGGCAATGTCGCGCACTCTGCAGCGACTGCGCGCCAGATCACCTTTGCTGATGACTCGCTGCTGCACCACCAAAATCACACGTCTGCTAAACAAATGGGGGTATGTATCCCGGAACTCATCTTCCCATTCCCAAGTCGACTCTTCACGAGAATGGTACTACCACAAAACACGGACCAGAGGGATCTCCTTATTACGCAACACCTACACCCTTCTATCCAATATCCCAATTGGCTGCTCGATGAAGGTCAGGTCCTCTCTGATCTGAACCGGTTCATATCTCAGGACATGGGATGGGTCAAGCTGGTACTTCCTTAAACAGATATATATGAAAGATATCGTGGATGTTTGCCAACTCGGGTGGTATGGCAAGTCGATACGCCACATCTCCAACTTTTCCCATAATCTCAAAAGGTCTAATATATTGCGGGCTCAACTTCCCTTTCTTGATGAATCTCATAATGCCCTTAATTGGCCACCTCAAACTCGAGGTCTCTTCTTTAGTTATCGACGTAACTCTTTTGTCGACTCTGAGTTGTCTTGAGCTTCTCTCAAATCAAAAGAATCTTTTCATAGGTCACTTGGACAATTTTTTGCCCTAAAGCCCTTCTTTCACCAATCTCGTCCCAACAAATGGATGACCTACACTTTCTTCCATATAGGGACTCAAAAGGCTCCATTTGAATACTAGCTTGAAAGCTACTGTTATAAGAAAATTCAATCAAGGGTAAATGATCATCCCAACTTCCCTTAAAATCAAAGACACAAGCCCCTAATATATCTTCCAAAGTCTGAATGGTTCTTTCTAATTGCCCATCAGACTGGGGCTGAAAAGTAATGTTAAAAGTAAGTATCGTTCCCAAGGATGACTGCAAACTAGCCCAAAACCTAGAGGTAAATCCAGTGTCCCTGTCGGACACAATGCTGACAGGTATCCCATGCAACCTCACTATCTCTTCGATGTATAACTGGGCCAGTTTATCCAAGGTGTAGGTCGTGCGGATAGGTAAGAAATGGGCAGCTTTGGTCAGCCGGTCCACAACGACCCAAATACTATCTTACTCAGAACTCATTCTACGCAAACCAGAGACAAAGTCCATAGCAATGTGCTCCCATTTCCATTCCAGCATGGGTAAGGGCTGCAACAACCCGACGGGTTTTTGATGCTCCACTTTCACTTGCTGGCATGTTAAGCACTGAGAAACAAAAAGTGCTATTCCCCTTTTCATGTCATTCCACCAGAAAATTTTCTTCAGGTCCTGATACAACTTAGGACTCCAGGGATGTATAGCATAGTGAGAGCGGTAAGCTTCCTCTAAGATAGCTTCTTCACATCCACATCGTTCTGGATACAAACCCGATCTCCGAATCTCAACAAGCCATCAATACTCATAGAGAAATCACCTCTCTTTCCCTACTTCATCTCTTCCTAAATTTTTATGAATCCTTCTATTGTGCCAACCAAATTAGTTGAAAAAGCTGGGGCTTCACCCTTATGCAAGCTGTCATACTTACCCAATCACCAAGGGGGGAGCCGGATGCCATCCCACTATATCCTCTAACAACTTCATCTCTCGAACCATTAAATGATCCGTCGATATCACGGGCTTCCTGCTCAAAGCATCTGCTACCACATTAGTTTTTCTTGGGTGATATTGGATGATACAATCATAATCGTTCAATAAGTCCATCCATCTCCTTTGCCTCTTGTTCAACACCTTATGGGAAAACAGGTACTTGAGGCTCTTATGATCCGTAAACGCATTAAATTGAGCTCTATAGAGGTAGTGTCTCCAGATTTTCAAGGCGAATACTATAGCTGCAAGCTCCAAATAATGAATTGGATAGCTTTGCTCATACAATTTCAATTGTCGGGAGGCATACGCAGTGACCTTCCCTCACTACGTAAGTACACATCTAAGCCCTTTATGAGAGGCGTCAATGTAAACTGCAAGGTCCTCATTTCCCTTGGGTAAGGTTAATATTGAAGCCATGGTCAATTTCTTCTTTTGCTCTTGAAATATTTTCTTACAGTTATCTAACAACACAAATTTCACACTTTTCTGGGTTAATCGAGTCAGAGCGAGTGTTATCTTTAAGAATCCTTCTACAAAGCACATGTAATATCTTGCAAACCCAGAAAACTATGGACCTCTATCAAGTTTGTTAGTCTTCCCCACTTGAGCACGGCTTCAATCTTAAAAGGGTCAACCACGACTCCATCCTTAAAAATAACGTGCCCAATGAAGGCCACACTAGGAAGTCAGAACTCACTCTTTCTCAACTTGGCATACAGCTTCTTCGTACTTAAACTTGAAGGACTACTCTCAAGTGTTGCTCATGTTCCTCTAGGCTCTTCGAATACACCAAAATATCATCAATAAAGACCGCAACAAAATAATTCAAAAAGGGTCTGAAAAACAGCTCCTTCAAAACAATTGGGGCATTAGTCAATCCGAACGTAGTTTTTGGGACATCTCCCTCCCTGACCCTCTGTTGATGATAACTCGTTCAGAGATCAATCTTGGAGAACACTTGAGCCCCTTGAAGCTGGTGAAAGAAGTCATCAATCCTAGGAAAGGGATACTTATTCTTCACTGTTACTTGATTCAACTACCTATAGTCTATGTAAAGCCTCATGGACCCATCCTTCTTCTTCATAAAGAGAACCAGCACATCCCAAGGTTACACACTGGGTCAGATGAATCTCTTCTCTAACAACTCCTGCAATTGCTCTTTCAACTCCTTCAATTCTGCTGGGGCCATCCTATGTGGGGCTTTAGAGATGGCCGTTACTTGATTCAACTGCCTATAGTCTATGCAAAGCCTCATGGACCCATCCTTCTTCTTCACAAAGAGAACCGGTGCCCCAAGGTGACACACTAGGTTGGATGAACCCTTCTCTAACAACTCCTACAATTGCTCTTTCAACTCCTTCAATTCTGTTGGGGCCATCCTATATGGGTCTTTAAAGATGGGAGCTGTATCAGGGACTACATTTATCTCTAACTCTATCTCCCTTACTAGAGGCAAAGAGGACAACTCTTCAGGAAAAACTTATGAGTAGTCTCCTACCATTGGTATCTCTTCTAACCTGAACTGGACGTCTTAATTTTCTACCACATAGGTTAAGTATTTGACACCTCCTTTAGCCAAATGATGGTAAGCTCGAAGGGCTGAAATAAAATGTGGAAGGGGAGCATCCATGATACCAACAAAGTACAGCGCAGGTTGGTTAGGCCGTTTAAAGGTCACAGATTTATTATAACAGTCAACAGTGGCATGATGTAAAGACAACTAGTCCATGCCCAAAATAACATTCAATATCTTGAATATCTAAAAGTATCAAGTCTATGGGCAGGATACACCTGTCTAAGAAAACCTCACACTGTTTGTATACCATATTTGTTTCCATGGAATCCCTCACAAGTGTGCACACTACTAAAATACAGTCAAGAAGTGAAGGTTCAACATTTATATGACATGCAAAATGAGGTGCAACAAAAGAATGGGAGGAACTAGCGTCAATCAAACTTCTAGCCTCTCTACCACAAACAAAGAGCTCACCTCAAATCAATGAGGTAGACGCCTTCGCCTCTTGCTCCATAAGCACAAACACCAGACCTTGAGTCTTCGGTCTGTCCTCGAGCTTTGTCACAACGCAATTCTTGATTAGGTGGCTAGGCTTGCCACATCGATAGCACGTTCCCGATTTCTTGTAGCACTCAGTCGTAGAGTGATTGTTCAATCCACAATATAAGCAGGCCGGGTGCTGGTTATCCCTCACATCTCCCAGGAAAGTCTTTTGGGTTGTCAGTTGCCCTGATTAGACCTTCCCATAAAACGCCTCCTAGGAGGCGGCCGAGTCTTTCTCCCAAAACTTCTAGATGATGCAAACCTCACTCTCCCTTCCTTTCTTAACCGGAACTCCTCACAATATTTCTCAATCTTCAAGGCTAGGTCCACCAATGGTGTGAATGTCTTAAGAGTAGCTAACATCACTCTTCCTCAGATATCTAGCTTAAGGCCCCTCTCGAACTTGCTTGCCTTATGCGCCTCTGTATTGATGACATGTGGCCCTTAGCGGGAGTGCTCTGCAAACTTGGTTGCATACTGTTCTACCGACAGCCTTCCTTGCTGTAGCTTAATAAATTCCACTTCTTTCCTCTCTCGAATAAAATCAAGAAAATACTTCTCATCAAATGCCACTAGGAAGTTCTCTCAGGTGGCGGCTGTCCCTGTCTCCACCCAGGACTACTTCACCGAGCTCCACCAATGCTCAACGTCCCCTTCCAGCATTAAGGTCCGCAACCTGACTTTCTGCTCATCAGAGCAATGCAAAACATCAAAAATCTTCTCTATTTGCCTCCTCCATCTCTCTGCTTTTTCTAATCCCCCATGTCCTGAGAATGTTGGGGGACACAAGTCTCCAGAACCTCTCAATCAATCTACTTTCTGCCTGGTCAAGGGAAAATACAGTTGGGGCCGACATATAGTCCTTCATCATTTGAGTCATGGCCCTAAGCTTCTTGAAGAATTCCCTGAAGGCCTCCGTGTTCCCATTACTCGAGCTCGAATTGGTGGCACGAGTCCTCGTCATCTTTGAACTAAAACAGGAACACCCAGTTACTAGCTTATCCAAAACTACCCTAAGGACACTCCTAAGACTCTCTAGGCCAAGAATCCTATCCTGGCTTCTCTGATACCATAAATTTTTACAACCCCGCCCCCTACCGTCCTACCGTACTTGCAAGAGGGTAACAGGGTACTGGACCACGACCAAAGGTAGCGAATGCCATTCAAGTGAGAGTGCGCTCAAAGCTTTAAGAAGAAGGAATCAAAGAAAACCATGAAACAAAACTAAAAACACACGACTACAAAACAAAACCGGACAACCAAGTTTCGGACCTTATAAATATATATAAAAAGAGATCCAAAAGTAATACAAATATGTCCAAGGCTTCAAGGCCCAATAACAATAACATGACTTCAAAATACACAAGAACAATATGGCCACAACCAACCAAAACATACAATTGAAAATAAAAACTTCCACAAAACCCCAGAGCTCCAACCTCCAGCCACAATCACCAACCCGCTCATTCTCCACTTGCGTCTATCGCTCTACATAGATGAAGATGAAAGAGTGAGCCGTAAAGCTCAGTAAATAGATCAAGTTACCATGCCTCCCTACCTATAAATATTCCCTCATGACAATACACAGGATGTTATGCAATTCTTATAAAACATGAGCCATGTGTCAAAATCAACTCTACCAGTGTATAGCAACAATTCATAGTAAAGCAATGACAAATCAGATCAATCATATATGATACTAAACAGAGGTTAATATAGTCATTCAGTTGTACAAATCTTAACAGATCGACGAATATAGGCAGTAACAACAATTTTAAACTAACTCACTCCCTAGTTTCTCCTACTTTCGAAGTAGAAGCCCTATCCATCAGACCAAGCTAATCTCATTGCTTAGGACTTCTACCATCATTCAGAAGGAAAAACAATGACAAATGGGTGTTCCATTTCATAATGCCTTCTCACACACACAAAATTTTCGTTCTCTAGCTGAAAGTTATGCTCATTGGTTACCATTGGTGCGGGACCACAAAATTTTTGTTCTTTAGCAAACATAACTCTCTAGTATGATAACCCTATAGAAAAATGAGTATAACTTCCAATCCACACAAAATTTTATCATGGTTTCAAAACTATTTTTAGAAAGCTCAATTATCTATCATTTAGAAGTGGTTTGACCTTATTCTGATATTTTTTGGTTAATGAACAGTTTCACATAAAACACAAAGTTCTTGGAAAATAATTTCTCAGTCCTAGCATACTTTGGAAAATGGCTCATAACTTTCAAACCAAAAGAGGTATTGACAGGAGGGCTTTTCCATCTTAAAATAGATCAAAGAGGTACTTTCTCACAAAATTCCATGATCAACAGAGGTATTTTTTATGCTCAATTGATAATACAAAGGGGAGTTAGTCCTGAAAATTCATGTCTTCATTGCAGAATTTTTCAGTATGACATCCCATAGAAAAAATGAGCATAACATCCAATCCACATGAGATTTTATCATTGCTCTAAAACTATTTTTGGAATAAAATTATTTATATTTTATTTAGAAGTGGTTTGATCTCATTCTGATATATTTTTGTTAGTGAATAGTTCCACACAAAAACACATAGTGTTCCTGGAAAATCATTTCACAATTATGACATACTTCAGAAAATTCCTAGTAGCATTCAAACCAAAAGAGATATTGTCAAGGGGTTATTTCTATCTTAAAATATACTCAAAGGGGTACAAAATTTTATGATCAACAGAGACATTTTTCGATGCTCAAACAATTACACAAATGGGAGTCCCAATTCTGCAAAAACCTGAGCACATACTAACAAGATTTCATATTTTCAATTACATATATTTTCACAATTACATCCATATTCATGCTTGAAATTCCACACTTTGATAAGCTAAATAGACAAAATATGGAGCACGGGAACTAGATCTGCTTACTGCACTAAGTGAATCTCCCAAATGCTCCACACAAGCTTCTCTTCAAAGGCCAAACTCCAATGGGTTCAAGCTCAAAGCTCTAAGTTGGAGAGAGGGAGGACGTGGGTCAGAGAGAGAAACTTTTCATGGAGGGGTGTGGTGGGTTTTAAATAAGCAAAAGAAGGGGGCGACAACATGCAGCTGACATTTGGCACACATGGGCACACACAGTCGCAACGTGCATGGTGGCAACACACACGGCGTCGGCAATGTGCATGGCGGCGTCTTGCACGGAGGCGTCGTGCACAGCAGCAATGCACATGGCAGCGTCTTGCACGACAGCAATGAGCATGGCGGCGTCATGCACGACGGCATCGTGCAAGGCGGCAATGCACATGGCGGCATTGCGCACAGCGGCAACGTGTTCGGTGGCATTGCTCATGACTGCAGTGCGCACGACGACATGCGCAACGTCGGCGTCGTGCACAACGGTAATGCATACAGCAGTGTCATGCATGGTAGCAGCGTGCAAAACATCAACACGCACGACAACGTCATTGCCGACGTGCGCTCAGCAGCGTTTGCCGCCAGATCACCCGTGCCGACGACTCACCGGTGCACCACCACATGCCAGAAAAGTCCGAGTTCTTACAACACAGCTCCTGTTGACTGTCACTTCGGATCTCGATTGTTAGTGAACTCATAATGCCACAGCCTCAAAGATTGCACAATGCTAGTTTAAGTGCCTATGAATAAAAAATGTCCATCAGCGTACCACCTTCTCAGAGGGTACTGGTCAATCAAAATGATGATCCCTCAATTTTCTTCCATCGTGTCTCAGGTATGTACTTCTTTGCCATTTACTTGGTATCCCAGATGATGGCCAATGAGGGGCAACAATTGACAATTGGCACCCCATTTAAAATTCTGACTAAGGGAATTCTTAAAAACCCTAATTCTGAGTCCTAAGGACCATATTAACAATAGTGAACCCTAGTAAACCTAGACCTAATTTTGTTGCCATTCTTAAATCTATTCCAAATTATAGCAAACCCTGATCATTCAAATTGGACGCACTGTTGACGAGCTAGAGCCTTATAAAGTTGTCCTGGAGAAATGACCAAAATGCCCTTGTGTGGACCGCACGCCACACGACGTATCGGGCCATGCGATAGGCTCCATGTCATGCACGGCTCACTCAATAGGCAGCATGTTGTGCGACCCCATGGGCTTGAAGTAGTGCATTCTTGCCCAATTCTTGTAGATAAATATGTTTAAGTCATACTATAACTGAAAATTTTAGAAAAATCTAAAATATTTAACATCTTTGACTAAATTGGAACCCTTAGATTAAATTACTTATTTTCAATCATGGTCGTAGCTCAACCTATAAATATCCCCTCTAAAATCCTAGAAAAATACATTAAAAAAATGCCCAAAAAACAGCTCAAAAAATTTGCTAAAAAATTAGTTAGACAAATCCTTAGAAATTACCAGATAAATCCTAGAAAATTTTAGAAAATAGGAAAAACCCTTAGATAAATCTTACAAATTTAGGAAAAATTAGGAAAGTTCCCCACAAATACTGAAAAATCCCAAAATTTGTAATAAACCTTAGGAGAATCTAAATTCCTTATAAAAGTAGAGAAAACCATCTCCCATCCATAGAAAAGACTAGGGAAAGCCATACCTAAAATCCCTAGACCCTAGCCAAGCCTTAGAAACTTTAAATCTACTTAAAATAACGTAAGATCTAGGAAAATCCAGCAAATGACATCCAAAGAGGAGATGGTCGCACGAGAAGAACAACCTGATCTGAGCACGATACTCCATGTTTCAGGTCCCTAAGGTAAGTAATCCCTCCTATTCTCTTTAAATTAATTATTTTCTCCAATTCTAGTTTATTTTTCTGTAATTTCAATTATTAGGAGATTTAGTAAAATTTAGAAGCTTTTTAAAAGTCTTGTACACAGACTAACTTGTTCGAACAACTAACTTGTTCCATATGAGATTTGAGTTGATCGTGCTCTGATATCAGCGTAATTCCAACCTTACACATTGGGCTTTTGTAGATGAGGTCTCTTATGAAATTGCCAGAATAAATCTTGATACTTGTGGCCCATTGAGCAGCAATAGCCTTCGCGAGAACAAACTGAAATCCAAATTTCATATCAATATCTTTTTTAATTAAAATTCTTTAAAAACAAGAAAACAAAATTTGTTTTTGACCTCCGATAAAGGTCGTTCACCTCAACCATTAAAAGGTGGAAAACGTTTATAATAAGGAT